ATTATATTGCCAAGCCCAAGCCCAAGTCGCTTTTAGGCTATAGGACGCTCGCTCTAGTCTCGTTGAGTAGTGACGTTTCGGGACCGAATGCAAAGTGTTTTGTTATACTTAATGAATGGTAGCTCAGCTCTGTTTAGGGATGAGCATCGATAGTAGATGTTTTCGCATCACCGATGTTTTTCTATAGATTTTCGTTGTTTTTCACATCGATGTTTTTGACCAAGTGTAATTGAGATATCGATGCTTTCCGTTACTGGAGAGTACAGAGACCAGACGAAAAATTGAAGAAAAAAATCTATGTCTTAGTCCCAAAAACATCGATGTTTTCACAACGATGTTATCGGTTACTGATAACATCGATGTAGCGATGCAATGATTCAGTTAGTAGCACCAATACTAGAAAAATACCGGTATGGATCATAAACATAAACAAATGACGTTGTTGGCCCGAATCCTCTACGAATAGCGTTGAACATATGTTTTGGCAGTTCAATTTAAGCAATGTGAAATAATGTGTATTTTCGGGCCAAAAATGTCATTTGTTTATGTTTATGATCCATACCGGTATTTTTCTACTTTTCTAGTATTCGTGGTTAGTAGCCTTGGTACCACTGGTTGATCTAAATCGATGCTCATCCCTTTCCTTGTATGTCTTGTGAGCTGTGACGCAATGCTTACTCGCTCCAGTCCAGTTTGCCCGAATCTCCAATTCCCATCTGTTAACTGTTTCTCATTGTAGGCTACTATCTGTATTGAGTTCGCATCTATTATTTTTGCAATACGCTCGCTCTAGTCTCGCTGAGTTAGTGACGATACGACCAGGACTTGTTGTTTGCTCAGAGTTGCAAGCAAATCATTAGCAATCTGAATTTATTTTGTTTCTTTGTTGCTTTATATGACGTTTATGGCTTATTTTAACCAATTTTATCAAAGAATCGAAGAGAGTCGGAATCGATCCCAAACCCACGGAGATTCGAATCGAATGCTCGATTCGATTCCGGCGGAATCGAGAGTATTTTGGAATCGAGAATCGGAATCGGCCCATCACTAGTCAGGATATTTCTATCAGACGCCAGACTGCCCGGAGACTGGCCACCGAATCGTCTCACAAGCAGGTAGTGATTCCACTTCCCACTTACCTTCGCATATATCCGCGGCAGCTGCGGTAAAAACTTGTGTAAACCGTCCGGAGCTCAATTAGTGATCTGCAGTCGCGTGCGGCGTGCGGCGTGCGGCGTGCGGCCGACGGCGAACCGGAGCATGCGGGCGTGAGGGAACATCTTGTATCGATTACCGTGGGAAGGATTGGCGCGTCTTTTGTTTTACTTTGACACAATTCAGGTGCGGATTCGATCCTGGGTCCTCACTTCCTGTTCCTGGGCGCCGCAAGACGTGTCTGCTCTACTGGTGATGAAGGGGGAAGAGGTGGATTACTCGTATTGTGTTGGCGTTGGCAACGTAGATATTCTTCCTTTGAAACATGTGCTGTGTATTTGAACGTAAAGTGCACTGAACAGTCGTTCGGTTCATAAAATAGATTATCAATTGACAAATTTTCATTATTTTTTTATCAGAGACCTCAACACTCTGAAGAATATATCGGCATTCAAGAGTAACATAAAACATGTACAACCTATTAGAGTATGTATGATCTTTATCTCTGGAGAAACGTAGAACTCTCTATGCTCTCTATGTAGACGAACGGTAGAAATTTCTTAAAAAAGAACATATTTGAATGAGCTACGTTTAAACCATGAGCCAATTAAATTATGCTCCATTTTGAGATTTGTATTAACAAGTTTCGTTAGTGCAGACCGGTGGGTTTGATCAATTGCTAAATCAGTCTATGGGGTTGTATAGCCTGGCAACGATACAGAGCCATGGTATATAGAGGTTGCGATCAAAGGATTTATCACATAATATCACATTAAACACACTCAAGTGGAATTGTTTAAAGTATAAACTATCTTTTCTGGTGTAAATAAGAGTGGTTTCTATTTGTGTATGTGTGTGTCTCTTCCGGTGAACGCATCTTTACACTATAGGTCCAATATGGTTCAACGACGAGTAAATTCTGACTGTAAGCCTTGCAAAATAAAATAATCTCCTCATGTATATCCCGAATCTCAATTTCACGATAAAGCTGTCGACTACGTACAACACGCAATGTAAATTACTTATCGCACAATCTGGTACAGTTGCTGGTCTAATACGTGTTATTTCATCAATCAACTGACAAGCTAAACCCGTTTATTACGAGTGGCCGGTTGTTCGGTTCTTCTGTTATTATCCCCAATTTATCAATTTTCATGTGCTCGGCGCCGGTTACCGTGTTTAGATATCATCAGATAAGGCGACCTTGACGGCTCTGTCCAGCCTGGTTATCCTTTTACATATTTCGCAAAGTCGTAACAGTAATTTGATTTCATGCGAGACAATTAGTCGGCTGCAAAGCGAGTCGGGTCGATTAGAAGATAAGAGATTAAATAGGGCGTTTGACTGGCTGGTCTGTGATTGATTTACAAAATGCAAATTATGAGCAAGAAGACCTTTACTTGCAAATCTGGTAGCAGTGACTTCAGGGATTTATTTTTAGGTTACGTATGGCACAATAGGTAAAATGCGTACCTTCAATACTAGAGGTGGTCACTAAGATGCCATGGATGATTTACTTTCCAATTATCTAATTACTGTACCTTACAAAAGTTTGGGTTAGATAGTAGATGGATAAGACTAAGGTTTGGTTCGCTTCCTTCTGGGGGAAAAATTAAAAAATGTCAGTGGCGTAAACCGAAAGAACAGTTGAACATCCAACTGAGTAGGATAGGCTTCCGATGAAAAAATGAAGTTTCCCAGAAGCAGCCGGGATTTTAAAATGTTAACGTGTTTCATGATAATATGAATGGTTAAGACAAGGCTCCCCTAAATTTATTTATTTATGGACATGTTTATAAACACAGGGGAGTGCGTTTTAAAGTCTACGGTTGCCCAACACTAACATCATTCACCAGCTCTACGTTATTGTGTAATAATTCATAAGTCCGTGATTCCAAAATACATTCCTTTGGAAAAGTCGAGTTATATAAAATTTTAACATATCTTGACTAAAAACTAAATTCAGCCTACTATCTAAAACAATTGACAGTCTTGATTGACAGTCTAGATTAAAAAGATTTACTGTAATCTAACAGAAATGCAACAGAATGTATGTCAGCTTGAAAATCTCTAACTCTGTATCAAGCTTTTCATGTAGTGTTTTTCTTAATCCTGAGAAAATCAATCCCTGGTTCAGTAAGATGATTAAAAGCTTATTCAACTGAAAATGTTTATGTTGAAAAGAAATAAGTTGAATGGATGGGACGCGCGTTTCGTGCGGCCAGATGTGCATAAAGAATATGTCCAACAGGCCAGGGGCTACAAACATGGATTTGAATTACAATATAAGGCAGAAGGAATATAGTTTTAAACATAAAACATGTCTTTATGATGTATAATGAAGGGAGAGTCAAGAGAGCAGCTGACTTAATCGATTCCTTACAAGAAAATCTCGTGAAAAAATCATATATAACTCGAATGGCTTTTTCTCCATCTTAAAAACAAATCTATTCAGATTCCTATACTGGCACATACTGCATAGGTACACCGATGCAATGGGAGTGGGATATCATTTATTAAGAGAATAAATAGCACAGGGCTAAGAATAAGAACAGATCCCAGAGGTACACCTCTTTTTACTCTAAATAAATATTCATGAATAGGCTACGGGTTTAACTTTTTTCATCGGCGCTGGCCGGTCTGGTCATTGATGAAAAGGGGCTAGATGAGATGGCAATGATTACTACATGTGGTCAATAACAATAGTGCATGGCAGTCACAATACTTTGCATTTATTTCCAATAGTTTTCTTTATTCCAACAAAAATGGCAATGACAAAAGGGGATGTTTTAACAAATACTGTTTAATAATCTATCATTGACTATTGGATTCTTAAGTTATATCAATAGTCTAAGTATCTATATAGAACGAGTCATATTCTGTGAAACTTTGCATTTTTATATGAGTTTTATGTTATACAGTAGTTCCAAAAACAAAATCAGAATGACAATGAATGGTAAATTGTTTGTCAAATAATATTAAACCTTATGCATTCAGAAATATTGTTCACTCCCTTTTTTTGTAAATTTTCGAACTCTTTTGTTACCAATGTTAACCAATCCTTGATTTTACCCCAGAAATTCTTTGATGCTTTTTGGTTTCGGTTTAAGTTGGCCCCACGACTTACGCTGACCTTAAAAATTGCGCTTGAGTTTACCTTTGATTGGCCTGTTTTATCTAAGGTGTCTAAGATGTGACCCAAGTTATCATGACACTAACAGCCTAGTTTTATGACATAATCGAGAGCTAGCCTTTACCTGTATTTATATTTAATTTATTTATTTATTTATTTTACATACCAACTGTAATTGGGAAAATCGCTTATCACGATACTCGCTTATTACATCAATTTTCTTTTTCAAATCAACTCGCTGTGACATTACTATAGACATGATTCTGTCAAGTTCAAGCAACTCTGTTGGATTCAAAAGTCAACATTATATACAATTGATTAATAATCCATCCATCTATTAAAACCTACCCAGTCTCATTGTTTTCATTCGTTCCCTTTGTTTCAGAAGCCGACTACAATACTCATTCCTCGGAACCTGCAAGTCCCACCCGACAGCCGTTGCTACAGACACCGAAATCATCCCCTACTCTGTTGCTCCGCTTTGTCGGAACGGGGGTCGTTTTGATCTGCGTTAAACTAACCTTTCCTCAATGGGGTTGATTATTGGTGTTAAGTGAGCCACTTGAGCCAATTCTGTTCTTTGTGCAGACACCCCCGCCCCCCACCACTGCCTGGGGGAGGGGGCGTGGTCTGCTCTGTGATTGGTCGGTGGGAGGAGCCTACCGCGACGGCGTGGTCCATGACGCAGACCATAGCCAGTCGGTCGCCGACACTCGGGGAGTGAGTTGGATTGTGTTACCTATCAACTGACTGTGATAACTAACTTACTGGATTGATATGGTCGTTATTCTGTAAGTAATTTGTTTTAAAGTGATTGCATGTTGAGTATTACAATTGTAATTTGTATGTTAAGTGAAGATAACTTTATGAAGATATTTTTTATTAATAGATAAATATACACACGAATAACCTATGAACTCTTAATCCTTTTCTGTCATTAAATATGTAATCCATGAATATGCTAAGGCATTCATTGTAACCTGAACTCATGCATTTAAACAGAAAAGCTAAATTATGTTAAATTGAACGTTATGAAAACACTGTTTCATGATCTATCTTTCAAAATGCACAGTGTTCAAACCCTGTTTAATATACTGTTAATAATCCATGTAAAAAAAAAATATGATTATAAGTATTGTAACCGTTAACACAAACGTAAAACCGTTTTATATATTAAAATAAAAGAATGTGTACGACTTACTTTACCGGTACTCTACATCAGTTTATTAGAAATACTTAAATTAAATTAAAATTAATTAAAAGATAAACACGAAGCGGCACGGCGCTCTAGGCCAGTTTTCTTTCCCGCTGAAAGTGATTTCGACGATCGCATATCACCATTCAATCTGACAGTATAAATTATCAATGGTGCGCTAGTGGAGAGTTTCAGTACGGAGTTGTTTTAAATGGGATATTCAGAAAAAGATTACTCATAAATGCATCGCTCAACATCAATTAATTATCTTCCACTACTATAGTATTATAAATCGATAGTGTTGTTGTAGCATTTCCTTACATGTTACTATCTCATATTGCTAAGAAAATTATACACCTTTCTAGTTCAAGTTAAGCTAACATAATTTTCTATTTTGTGGTAAAATAATTTTATTTATTTATGTTATTTTTGTCACTTATATCATACAGGTAGATATGTATATTTTAAAGTATGCAATATATATTTGTATTGTAATTAAATGCATTGCTTAATTGTATTAATACCTACATTTAATAAGAAAGTATTATTTTTATACACGCTTGTATTATTAATATGAAGTTATATACATACTTGTCTTGGACGTATATACTTTTACCATGAAACACCAAATTTCAGAAAATGTTCAGTAACTTTTTTCTGCAGGTAATCATAAAAATTAAGTTTTGTAACTACTTATCAGGATTAGTTGTAAGCCATAGAGACAGAATTGTATTCCCAAAAATCAACTGACACTGACTACAACGTGTTGGTTCAGTTGGTTAACGTCGTTACTACATTTTACCATCGCAGTCACACTACAACTACAATTTATTTTGCATATTATAAGACATAAAAACAAGCCCGGAACTATCACAAATGATCCTATAGACAAGCAAATAATGTAATACTTTAATTGTAATATAACTGAACTGAAGTGCCTCGATGAGATCCTAGCGAAAAGAGAATGTTTTACTAGGTTTAACGGTTACTTTTAGAGGTGCCGGTGTTATGATTGACCCTAGGTATACCTGAGGTCATTACTTGCCTTCCCTTGTCTCTTATCTATGTTATCACCCTCAACTTGAGGGAGTTCCGGTGATAAGAGGCTGTTTCCGGTGATAGCACCTTGGACTTCTGCAAAACACGCGTTTACAGAAAACTGGAAACGTGTTTTAGTGTTTGAATAATTTTCTTGTTGATTCAGCATGTCTTGTAGCATAGGTTATTTCGTATGTATTCGACACATTCTGTATTGTATGTTATATTACATGAAAAGAATGTTTAAAAAAATTAAATAAGATAGTAAACAAATAATTGTTTGATTTGTAACATTATAATACTCCATTTACCTAGTATGGTTTTATGATAGATTTAAAACATTTTCGAGACGAATTGTACATTCAGCAATGAAATTAAATCTATTACTAGTATGCATCGGTGAGTGAATTGTAAAGAGTCCTATGTTGATGTATTTTAATACCTACCGAAAAAGATTAATAATTTGAAAATTCAGCATTATTTAGGAATAAAACCAATACAATACCATTACAATACTCAAATTAAGTAAATGCGTTTGTAAATTTATCCGTTCACGCACAATAAATAACATATGCCATGCGTGTAAAAACGTTTCCATTCTAAAGCAATATAACATCCTCCTGTAATGATATTTGCCTATTCTGCGCCGGGAAGTGTACCCATTTTGCATTCTGCGCCTGCATATTAGTTTCACATTATTTAAGCGGCGGGACGAGTCAGTTAACTTTACTTTATGTTGCTCATCAGTATACGAGTTGTACCATACCATTTTACTTTGCAGCGTGTAAACATTATGTTGAATGTATATTGTGTTCATGTTTAACGCAATTCAGGGGTTTTTATACAAATTCTTGAGTTCTTCTCATTAGACGACTAATCAATGTTCTCGTACGAAGAAGAGTCATAAGCTCGAATAATAAGACGTGTTTTTAGAATGTTTTATTTGTATTTTCAACGCATTTATCTTTCGTGTTATTTATTTAGGTAAACGTCACATTGTTTGCTTTGTGAGTATTAATATTAATTTTTATATTATAAAATATTTTGGAGACCAGGGCTCTTATTTGTCAATTTATTCTTGGACCGCTCGCTAACCAAAACTTAACCAACCACCCCTAAACTAGAACGCAATTTTTATAACAAATTTTATTTATTTAATCTTTATAAGATTAATATGTATTTTAACTTTTTTATGTGTTACTAGCAACGTAATATCCTGTTGTGGGTACTTTTCCGTTAATTCACTACCACTACTTTTTTTATTGCAATTCCGATTATTCACTACCAGATTCTTTCATAACCAGCAAATTTTGTTGGTTATGCTAGTTTATAAAAGTTTTATTTTATAATTGACGTATTCATAAACTCAGATACCTGTTAAAAATATCGGAATTGCAATAAAAAAGTAATGGTTGTGAATTATTGGAAAAGAACCCGGTGGTGTAAAAAGAAACTGTATGACTAACAATACAGTGCTAAAGCTTTCACTAATTGAATAGGAAGAGCCCCCTTTTAACTGTACTGTTTCATGAACTTCTTTGTTAATTTAATACATTTACTTTCTAGCCATTGGAGGAAGTATGATTTTCAACTATTATTCGTTGTACTACTGAGTTAGTATGTTTTAAAAGGCATGATGCAATAAATGAAATTTTTTAAATCATATCTATAGTACAAAATGAACGGATATGAAACATATACATACTTAATTGATCCTTAATGTAGTGCATCCTTAATTTTTCTAAACGGGGTTAGTTTTATTCTTAAATCCTCTTTAGCACAGTTCCCGTTCGTTTACTTAATGTAGTAGCTCTACATTATTTAAGGTTAAGAGTTGGGAACCGAAGTACCAATTGCTTATAAGTTTAAATATGTTTTTGTTTCCATCAGCTACTTTTACACGTATTTTATTTCTTTTTTATTCAAAAACTTCAATAGCTAATATTGCAGTTTTCATTCTAAGTATTTTGTAGCATACAGTTTAGTAGTAACAACGTTTAAATATTTTGAGTGGTTGATATTTTTAGAAGCGTCTCGTACATACAATTGTCATATGATATCATTCTTGCCCAAGCTATGAATAATCTTATTTTTTTCGAATGGGTAGCCTCCGGATTATCAAGATACAATTAAAGTGGTTTAAATACCTGTAATGTCGATAATCCAAGTGGCGTTACACAACCACTTGGATTGTCGACATTACAGGTATTTAAACCACTTTAATTATAAATAATCAAAAGTAATAACTGTAAATATGCATAGGAAGAAGGGTGTTTTTTTTTATCATAATGAGTTTTATAAATTAGTTCAAATCAACTCAGATTTTTTAATGTTATAATGGAAATAATATAGCCTCCCATCAATTATAAAGCATTTTTCTGTCTGATCATGTTGGTTCTAATATGAATGAGAATTTCAACTTATCGAGTTTAGGGAGTTTAAAAAGATAAATATGCAACATTGATCTCTTACAAAATCTACAAAGTGCTGTGCTAGGCTACCTTTTTGAACGGCGTTTTGGCAGTAAAATGGGTATTTTAAACTAATTGAAGCAGAAAAGGAAACATGAAATAATACTAAAAGTATCTGATTCCGTTTTACAGTTTTAGAAAATATGACAGGTTTTCTGAGTTTTTACCTGGTATTTGACAATTAATTATAATAATATACTTCCTGGAAATGTTATTAATTCTTTGAGGATTTACCCAAAACGCTTGAAATAACAGTTATTTGATGCAAGTTGTATACAATAACATGATATTATGTATCAATTGTTTAATACTGCTTTTGTATTGCTGCCAGCTAGTGTGCTTAATGTCTCATTAGGCGTTACTGTATAATATTTAAATTCTCACATTTTAAGGATTAACCTTATACCTTATACCAATATAAAACAATACTTAAAAATCATCAGTAACATATAAGCAAGTAGGCTAAATATAATCCCGCAGAATCCTCGGTCTACGATTTGTCAACTGTTGTGCACTCTAGTTTAAACCCCTCCCACCCCCCACCACTCCGCTGGACCGTTATCTAGCTGTCTTTGATTTCTATTATAGTCGCTCATTAATATCTCCTTCGTGCTGCGGGCGCGGGTGCGCTCAACTGGTGCCGCGTTGAGTAGCGCTGTGTTGTGTCGTGTGCGGTACTGTTGTGTTGAATTGTGTCGTTGTGTCGCGGTCATGACAATACCTCTGATCAGGATGGGTTGGACTACAGATGTACACGAGTTTGGCTGAGGAAAAAAGGTAGCTTCAGGATCTCTTGGTAGTTTTTTTAAAGATTCCTACATAAAAGAAGGTGGTCAATGTTATAACTTTCTAAATCAAACAAAAACTAGTCTGGAACGTTTAAAAAAAATCGTGAATCGTGGAAAGCCTTGCAGATGATCGTGGGTTTGAATCATTTAGACAAACTTTGCATAAAGGTATTTCTTTCAAATTATTGTAATAGTAAACATAACTTTGTACAGTTCACACTTATTATTGTTTATGCAAAATTACACTCTTAGGGAAATCTTAGAATTTATTTAAATCACCTGAATTCATAGTATTGGTA